TAAATATTAGCTACAAATGAGGATATTTAGGTTTCGATTATATAATTAAATATTAGTAATATAATTAAATATTGGTTTGTTTGTTTAAATAATCCTTTAAATTATAAGTAGATTACATATTTATTTAATAAAAAAAAATGGGGATTTTCCAGGGCGGGTACGGGAAATCTATTTTATAAAGTTTGGGATTTTGACGGGACGGGGATGGAAATTTCTATAGGGAGTTGCAAAATCCGTCCAATTGTTGTTGGGATAAATATCTACACGCAAGTGCACGTATCGCAAACAAGTAGTAATAGTGGACACGTAAGAGTCGGATGTCGATCCTACAAGGAATACTCAAATTACCTAATCCTAAGTACCAAATTCTAAAAATTATGGTTTTTATCCAGCCTACGCAAGGTTGTCAAATTTAATCAACTAAATAATTAAAATAATTATAAAAGCAAAAAACACGAGAAAATTTCAATAAAGACGGACCTAGGGTTTTATCTCCCCCCCTATGCAATAATTCAACACCCAATTAAACATCTATAATGCAAGTTACGATTCCCGATTATTAACCCGATACACGAAATTACTTATAACCCGTTGTCGCGTGTATTAAAAGTCTATTATTCATAAACAGTTTACTATATGTCTATGCAAACCAATTATGAATAAAACATTAACTAAGAAGTCTCGTAAACGGCTACCTCTAAGGTGATATATGTATGTCTATGATAACACATGCAATTAACACACTAATCTGGTGCAAACTACTCGAAGGTTCTTCTATCCTTGTTCTAATTATTAAATCGATATGTCGATTCAATTCTAATAACACATAACAACATAAATTAGCTAGATTCATGCACTAAATAAGATCAGATAGAAGAAATAATCATGGAATTTAAACCTGAATAATATTAGAAAAATTGGTTCGAATTACCACATAGGTTTCTAATAAAATCCTAAATTAAAAATTTAGCTACTCATGTTCTCTACGAAAACATAATAAAAATACAAAAAATCATAAAAGTAGAAAAGAAAAGTAAAAGAAGAACTATGATGAAGATTCGTCAAGTCTTCGTCTTCGATTATCCGTTCTCTTGCTCTAAGATTGTGTCCAGAAGGTCCTCAAGTTTGTGCTTGTCTTTGCCCTTAAATAGATGCTCGTCTTGGTAAGAAAATCCGAGTTTCCTTGTGTGATTAAAACTCCAAAATTGCTTCCAGCGTGTTTTCGTGCGGCCGCGAGAGAATACAATTCTCACACGGCCGTCTCAAATATTGAAGCTTTCTGTCCTTCTGCAGTTGGCACGGTCGTTGCAGAAATAGGCTATTTTTGACACGGCCGTGCCAGGTCAATTTTTAGCCTCCGATTGTTTTCTTCTGTTTTTTCCCGCTTTTGACCCTTTTTGCTTGCTTCATCCTTGAAACTCCCCAATCTTCAAATTGCACCTAAAATACAATAAACCACGGATTAAGCACCAATAAATCAATAAAAGTATGCAAAAATCCTCGTAAGAAGGTATATATTGAGTGTAAATATACCTCGGATTACCTGCGACAATAGGGAAGACACGTAAGGAGATATTTGGCTAATCTCCGAGACCGAATTTGGGCACGCATCCGAGGGTGGAATACCACACGATTATCAAGGCAGGAAAGCAAATTCTTATTCAAGTTGTCATCCAGGCTATCCCTTCTTATATTATGTCCTGTTTTTTATTGCCTCAAGGAGCATCCCCATTAAACTGAAACGCTGATTCGTCGCTTTTGGTGGGAAACGGGAGTGGGAAATCGATGGGTTGGAAGGCGTGGAACTGGCTATGTCGACCTAAGGAATTCGGAGGAATGGAATTTCGGGACTCGAGGGCCTTTAACCTTGCTCTCATCACCAAGCAAGCATGGAGGATTGTTACGACGCTTGATCTGCTCCTCTCAAAACTTTTGCGGGCTCGCTACTTTTCGAACCGCTACTATCGGCTATCGTCAGTCAGCCACATGGCGATATTGGATGAATGTTTTATTCTTGCTGCTTTGGTTTCTTTCTGTTCTTTTTTCTTTTTTAAGAGACAGAGCAATAGCCTCGCTCATAACCTTGCTACAATCTTAGTTTTGGATTCTCTAGAAGGGCCTTCTCATCCCCCATCTTTGGCCATGTGTGCCTAATAAATCTTCCATTTATTTTCAACAAAAAAATAATAATAAATGTGCATGGATTCTAGAAATATCATAATAAAATGACTAAAATACTAATTTTATAATTTTTTATCATTAATTCTCTCAAGAGTAGTAAGGGCATAATTGAGAAAAACACGATAAATACTTCATTGGAATCCTAAAATGACAATTATTTTAAAATAAAACACTTCTCTAGAAAGACAAATAAAATGGAAAAGAGTGAATAACAAGAAGTTGGTTCAGGGTCGTAAGTAGGGACTAAATAGTAAATAGACGATTTTATCAATAAATATTATAAATTAGTAAATAATTATTGTTAAATTATGGATGTTAATTAAAATGAGATAAAATACCATATTTAATTAGAGTCTTTCTAGGGTGAGATCTCATGTTCTAAACTTTTATGAGATACCCCCTTTATATTGCGCCACGTATCCCTGCCAAAAAATCCATTTTTTCCTGATTTACGTATTGTCGTAAATACCCTTCGTATAATTAATATTTTCAAAAAATCGGCCATTATATATTATTAATGTAATGTCAATTTTACCCTCTATATTTTTAATGCAATTTTAAATATATATTTATTGTTGAATTAAAATTTATAATGTCAATTATATCATTATTCGTAAAAATCATTAAACCACCCATTCAAAATTGCATCATCCTGAATTCGAACTCGTGACCATTTGAAAACACACAAGAATACTTACCATTAAGACACAACACATAATTGACAATAAACTAACAATACGGATATATATCACAAAGCTACAATTTATAATGGTTATAAAACTTATATAAATAATGTTAAATAAATTATTAATTCTCATATAATTATTATTATTATATATTAAAAATATCCCATACTAACAAATCTTTATATAATATAATTTAAAAATCTAAGGAAATGTTGTTCAACTCGTGTAATTTAAAAATGAGTTTCGAAAGAATTTGAAGTTTGAATTGAATCGTAAATTGGAAGATTTAATTAAATCGTAATATTTGAATCAATTAAACTCGTGTGTTTTCAATTCAAAAACAATATTCAAAGATTTGATCGATTAAGCTCAACTCATTTCAATTCGTATATAATATTCAAATATTTGAATCGGTTAAACTCATTAATTTACAATAGCGTATTAATCAATCTGTGTATAGTTAAAGTTTAGTGACCTTTTTTTTATTGAATTTTATCATAAAAAATAATAAAATTTGATTCGTAAAAATCGTAAGATTTAATCGGTTCATGGTTAGATTAAATCTTACGATTTACGATATGATTTTTACGATTTTACGAATTAAATTATTATTTTGTTGTTCAAATTGAATTAAAAGGATAGTAGACTTTAATTACAAATAGTTAACTCGATTAATACGTTCTTGTCAGTGGTTGAACTTAATCGATTCAAATTTTTGAATAATATTTACAAATTAAAAGGATTTGCGCTTAATTGATTCAAATCATACGCTTTAATTAATCTTATGATTTGATTCTTGCGTAATTTAGGAATTATTTTTTTATGATAAAATTGAATTAAAAATGTATTACACTTTAATTAATAATATTTAATTTGATTAAGACGTTCTTGTCAATAGTTGAGCGCGCTAATGAATCGATTCAAATATTTGAATAATTTTTACGAATTGAAAAGACTTGAGCTTAATTGGTTCAAATATTACGCTTTGATAAAATATTATGATTTACGATTAGGTTCTTACATGTGTTATGAATTAAATTTACTATTTTTTATGACAAAATTGAATTAAAAAGATATTAGACATTACTTATAAATAGTTAAATCAATTATGTAACATGTTATGTCAATAGTTAAGCAACCGATTAAAATATTTGAATAATGTTTACTACTTGAAAGGATTTGTACTTCATCGATTCAAATCTTACTAGTTGATTAAATTAAATATTAAAAGAAAATTCACAATATAGTATTTGTAGTATATAATTTTATTTTAAAGTAAGAAAACTACTAATTGGAATGAGTTATAATTTTTTCTTCTTCTAAACAAACATATTATTTTATTTTATTTTTGGATTTGTCACACTATCGATTAAATAACATAAGTGAGTTTGAATTAAGTTATGCATTTTTTTATATTTAATTGAGCATTCTTTACATTTTTAAATGGTGGAGTTTATTAATACTTCGATGTTTGGCGTATTGAACTGCAATTCTTTATATTTTTTAAACTTTATTTTATTAAATTTGCTAATAATTTATTTAATATCATTTAATAATAATGAATGTTGCAATTAATATTTGAATTAACAGTATTTATACAATTATGGTTAAATATATCATAATAAGTTAATGTGCTTGGATGGTTAGGAGTGATAAATGTATTAAGAGGTCACAAGTTCTATTCCTAATGAATGCATTTTTTTCGATTATTTATCAAATAAATCTCGGTCACAATGAATTTAAATTAATTATTTAATTAAAATATAGTAGGGGGGTAAATTAGACAATTCAATGTTAATCAATTTTATATTAATTTAATAAAAAAATAATCGAAGGATAATTTAGTAAATTACTTCATTTTTTAGAACATAAGCCATGTTATTTTCCTAGGGTCCAGATTTAATCTTAGAAAATTAATGGTGATTAATGCATATCTCATAAAAGTTTAGAAGGGTATCTCACCCTAGAAAGACCCATTTAATTAATGAAAAGGAGAGGCACAATAATTATTAAGGATGTTTCATTTCAGAAAATATTACACATAAATGTTTCAAGTGAACTTGTCTTGGAAAAAATATACATATATATCATTTCACAGCCAAATAAATAAAAAAAAAAAAAAAAAAAAAAAAAAAAAAAAAAAAAAACAAGTATTGATATTATTAGACCTCTCATCAAATCATCATACATAAGCAGATGAATGGGTCTTAATTGTTGAGAGGAGGGTAGTTACTGCTTCTCCAACAGTCAAGAACATTGCATCTGGTCTTGCCAACTCTTTTGCTTCGTCTCCTTGCTGCAATTTCTCTATCACCTCCCCAATTGGATTAACCAATACAAGCTGTCACAAAAAAAACAAAATATAAATAAATAAAACAATTTAAAGTTACTAATTTTTTTCTAATTTAATAGAAAAATGAAATAAAAAAGGGACTTGCCTCCAAGTTCTTTTTCTCCAATGCCATCCTCAAGTCTTTGAAGAATGAAACCCCACTTGTATCAATTGCACTCACAGCTGAAAAGGGTTTCAATGAATTAAGAGGCTGTTTGGCTAAACTTATTTTAAACAACTGATAAGCTCTTACGTCTGATAAGATGTTTTAAGAAGTGATAAGCTGTTACAAATTATTTTTAGGATTAATTTTTAGAGTGTTTGGATAATGAGTTTATTTCCTATTTTTACTCGTTATAAGATCTTAAATAAAAAGGTGGGGTAGATGATCTTTTATTTAAAAGATCTTATCTGCTCTCCAGCAACTTATACTTAAAAAAGTTAAGATTTTCTTTTTAAAATTTATCAGACACTTTAGAAGAACTTATAAGTTGTAAAACATCTTATAAACTCATTTGAACATCTTATAAGCTTAGCCACACACCCTCTAAGTCAAAATTGACAAAAATGAGACTAAAGATTGATTAATTTTCAAGAAACTCACCAGACAAATCAAGAATCACAAACTTAAGTAGTCCAGACTTCTTTTTAGCGCCATCATTCTCCGATTCAGAATCGTCGATCCATCTCGTAATCCTGAGTACAATCAAAGCAAACAAGTAAAGCTCGTGAAAAAAAGAACGAACGAGATGGTTTCTCGATAACTTTGAGACAAAAAAAAAAAAAAAAAAAGCAACCTTTCTTTAAGGTAAGTGGTATTGACAAAGTTAATCGGAGCTTCGATTCCGAGAATCACGAATCCAGGCACAGCCGCAGCATCTTTGTAATGGTGAAGATCCCGATAAATATCCGTACCGGGAATATTCCCCATCATTACGGTTTTAGGCCTAGTCACTTGCATTAGAATCTTGAAAATAGATATTCCCACCTAAACAACATTATAAAATTATAATCATCGTCGATGTTACCTTAAATTCATATTATGTTATGTAATAAAATAACGAGAAAATCCCTCTCACCGCGATAGCTAGGCCTTCTTGAACGGAGATAAAGAGCACTCCCAAAAATGCACATAGCATCACAACGAAATCGAATTTGTCGATTTTCCAAATTTGACATGCAGCAGGAATGTCGATAAGTCCGATCACAGCTGTAACAATAATCGCACCCAAAACAACGTTTGGCGTGTACTGAAACAACGGCATTAGAAATAAAAGTGTCACCATTACTGTAACCGCCATTATTATGTTCGAAACCGCTGTTTTGCAGCCCGCGTTGTGGTTCACCGCCGACCTTGAAAACGCACCTGCAATTTTAGAGAAATACAATTACGATTTTTTTATTATTATTATTTTTTTTTTCTCGTAGAATCGGTACCGGTTGTGATATAGCAAGAAGTGGACGAGCCGACGATGTTCATTACACCAATCGCAATCATTTCCTTATTTCCATCGACCTGGTAATTTTTCAATGCAGCAAAAGTTCTTCCAACCGCGATTCCTTCCTGTTAATTAATTAATTAATTTCATTAGTACAACATAATTATTTATTAGCAAAAAAAAAAAAAATACGAAGAAACTAAAAGTGATTAATTTACTTACGGTAAGTGAAATGATGCCGGTGACGAGGCCGGTTTTCATTACAAGTCCCAAGTAGTTATCGTGAAAATGTAACATGTTCCACGATGGAGGATTCAACCCTTCTTGTAGTTTCCCAATCTTTACTTGACAAAATTTGGTTTTTTATTTTATTTTTATTAATAAATATTAGAAAAGTAAAATAAGATTATTACATAACAGAGCATAAAAATAGAAAACTTACTACACTGATGCCGTGATTTTGAGCTTTGAATGCAAAAACGAGAAGAGTCGAAAGGATGACAGAGAGTAAAGGGGCACCGGCTGATATCCAAAACAGCTTCGGTTTCCTCATACTCTGCATATATAATCACATTTCGAGAATATATACTATGATCAAATTTAAATCGAATTAGTTTTTTTTTTTTCTTACATTATGTTACATAGATTAAAATCGGTAAAACGAATCATGTCATGCTAACTAGTGTCTATTTTGCATGTGCGACGGTCCTCATTCAAAATGAAACCGAAACCGAAACCAAAACCGAACTCTATATATGTTTAATTTCTTTCTTAAAAACTATTACAAGAAGCTCAGTCTTTTGTTTTAAGTAGCTCTGTGTCAGAAAAACGGCACTAATTAAACACTGTCCTAAATAGAGGCAAAATTAAACTTTATAAAGGACCAAAAAAAAAAAATCACGGGTTCGATAAAATAATTTATCGAACGTGATTGTTTCAACAATGATTAAGTAAGATAGCAAAACGACGTAGGATAAAACAAAATTGCTATCTGCATTGAGTTTTAAACAAGTCAAAAAAGCAGATTTTGAGTGACTCTAGATAATAAAGCTTTCCTACTTTCTTTAAGAAATAATCTTGAAAATCATGTTAGGCCGTTTACAAATAATGCATACAAAAGACATGTCACTGGTGGTGTTTGGCTATGCTTATAAGTTGTTAAAAAGAGTTTATAAGATGTTTAACAACTTATAAGTTTTCCCAAAGTGTTTGATAACTTCTTTTAAAAAGATCTTACAAAATTAAAAAATTAAGCTCATCGAGAGTAAATAAAGTTTTTTTTAAAGTACATCACCTTTTTATTTAAGATTTTATAATGAGTTAAACTAGCTATAAGATCATTATCCAAACACTATAAAAACTAATTTTAAAAATAAGACGTAACATCTTATCAGCTCTTAAAACAACTTGTCAGCTTATCAGATATAAGACGTACGGTCTTATGATCAGCTCTTTCAAATAAACCTAGCCAAACTCGCCCTAAGTAGATAATGATGTTTTTCAGAATGCTAATTAGATATTATGAACCAAAAATTATTTCTGGAATGCCTAATGATTTAATTATATAATTAAGCTACCCAATATAGAATTAATTTATTATAGATAAACAAAAATACTTACAATATGTCTAGTGAAAAGAAGGAAAAGTAGGAAGCAGAATCCCATCAGTATAGTTTGCCATGACCACTGCACCAAATTATGAAAATGAAAAATTATATTAGAAGGGTTAAAAAAAATATTAAGAACCAAAATAAAAAAAAG